TTCCCCTTCCCTCTTTCCCCTGGATGAACAGCCTCGGCAGTGCCGGAAAGCCGAGCCCCAGCTCCCATAGAGAAGTCCTGCTGCCATGGGCAGGCTGGGCCCCAAGGAAGCTGGCTCCCGCCCCACAGCGCGAAGAGGATACGTCCATCAGGTTGACCATGTTGCGGCAGGAGTCCAGGCTGAACCCATCTGTCTTCAGATCTTTGTCTGAGGAGGAAAGAGGAGGTGAAGTGGCAAAACCCCACCTGCCGAGCAGGCCTGGGCTGCAGGGAGCAAGGGGCGGGAAGGGCAGCGCTTACGTCTAGCGATGACTCTGTTCAGAATAGTCCGGAGCTCAAAGACGCTGATTTCCATGTCCTGCAGCAGGAGCAGAGTCAGCAGCAGCTCCCCTCGCCTAGCTGGGGGCCATTCCCACCCTCCCGCCTCAACACCTCGGCCTTCGTCACCACACGCCAGGGCGCCGCTGCGTTCCCTGCACGCCCAGAAGAGTTTGGGCCACAGCTGGGTGCCCCTTCCCCAAATCTGCTCCTGTCACACCACCCCTGGGGGGAACCGGGCTGAGCCACGGCAGAGACGGACTTGTCTGCAAGTGGGGTGGCCTGGAGGTCTCACGGCCAGGTGTCCCATCTCCTCCCCAGGCCAGGGCCCCCCCAGAGCTCGGCGCAGCTGTACCCACCTCCCCTGCCAGCTGCTGGAACATATTCTTGAAGCCATCCTCTATGTCGTCCTCCGTTATTTCCTCCTGGGGTGACGCAGGCCAGAAAGAAGAGGTTAGCGGCCAAACCCAGGCTCTGCCCTGCCTCCCAGGCTCAGCAAACCCAAACTGGAGGGGAAGCTTTTTGCCGTGCTGCTCATCTTGGTTACTTCCCACATCGCCACCACCTTGACGGTGCCAGGCTCCCCCTTTCCAGCCACAGCGACACCCCAAAACCCAGGCAGTCCCCTCCTGCCTGCAGCTCCCCCCTCCCAAACCCCAGAGCCTCAGCACCGACCGCACCGAAGCGGCGGCTCCCACCTCATCCGCCAGATCGGCCGAGATCTCCTCGTCCAGCTCCCTGGGGGGGGCAGAAAGGAGGGGAAGGGATGAGCTGAGCGGGGTGTCCAGCAGCGGGGGAGCGTCCCACCGCTCACAGACACAGGGGGTCCTCCCCCCGGCCAGGCAGGGACTCACGCCGTGTCCGACTGCTTCTCGGTGAAGACCCGCAGGACGAAGTCGGCCTCCTTGTGGGGCTCGAAGGTGGAAGGCACGACGATGTACTCGCCGGGAGGCAGCCGGATCTGGTTGCTCACCTCCCGCAGGTTGATGAAGGTCTCGGACCGCGCCCGCGACTGGTTTCGCAGGAAAAAATCCTTCTTCAAGTGCACGTTCTGGCTGCCCTGGGCCTGGGGGGGGCA